TATGGCTCAGGTGTGTCCAGGTGTGCTCAGGTGTGTCCCAGCTGTGTCCCAGGTGTGCCCCAGGTACTTCCAGGTGTGTCCAGGTTTGCCCCAGGTACCCCAAAATATGGCTCAGGTATGACCCAGGTGTGCCCAGGTGTGTCTAAAATAACCCCAGGTGTGCCCCAGGTACCCCCAGGTGTGTCCAGGTAGGACCCAGGTACCTCAAAATTGAAAGATCAGGTGTGCCCAGGTGTGTCCCAACCTCCTCCAGGTGTGCCCAGGTGTGCCCCACGTACCCCCAGGTGTGTCCCAGCCCCTCCCAGCTGTGCCCAGGTGTGCCCAGGTGAGTCACAGGTGTGTCCCAGCCCCTCCCAGGTGTGCCCAGGTGTGCCCAGGTGTGCTCACCCTCAGGTAAGCCTGCCAGGTGTGCCAGATCCAGGCCCGGGGTCCCTCTCGGTTGTGTCTCCACATGAGCCCCAAGGTGAGGCAGGTGAGGGCGGGGTTCAGGTGAGACATTTCTGCATCCACCAGCACCTGCACGCCCCGGGCCACGGCTGCCTGTGGGGGAGGGGACACGGGAGCTCAGGTGTGTCCAGGTGTGCCCAGGTGTGCCCCAGGTGTGTCCAGGTGTGTCCAGGTGTGCCCCTCCCCTCTCCGCAGCCCCTCCCCCCCTCACCTGCGCCACCTCCTCGAGCCTCCTCAGGCCCCTCCCCAGGTGTTGATTCTCGGCCGGGCTGAGCCAGGTGAGCTCCGGCACCTGTGGGGGGGAGTGGGCGTGGCCCAGGTAAGGGGGGCGTGGCCAATAGGGGGCGTGACGCAAGGAGAAATGGGCGTGGTCAACGGGGGAAGTTGTTTTTACCTGGCCACCCAACATGGCCGCCACTTCTTCTGGGTTAAGCCCCGCCCCTTCCGGCTCGGCCAATCGGAGCGAGATTTTCTCCTGAGGGGGCGTGGCCTCACCTGAGGGGCCTCACCTGCCCCATAGATCCCAAATCTGCCCCATAGATCCCAAATCTGCCCCATGGATCCAAAATCTGCCCCACAGATCCCAGATCTGCCCCACGGATCCCAAATCTGCCCCATGGATCCAAAATCTGTCCCACAGATCCCAGATCTGCCCCATGGATCCCAAATCTGCCCCATAGATCCCAAATCTGCCCCATAGGTCCTTTACCTGCCCCATAGATCCTTTACCTGCCCCATAGACCCAAGATCCACCCCACAGATCCCAAATCTGCCCCACAGATCCCAATCCTGCCCCATAGATCCCAAATCTTCCCCATAGATCCCTTAGTGCCCCATAAATCCCACCCCACACATCCCGCCCCACACATCCCACCCCACACATCCCGCCCCACACATCCCGCCCCACACTCACGCAGAGTTTCTGGCTCAGCAGCGCCGTCACCTTGAGCTGCATTGCGGGTTCGGGGCCCGAGGTGGCCGCCAGCCCCACACATTCCAGGGCTGCCCCATGGTTCTGCTCAAACCAGGCCTCGCTGCCCCATAAGTGACCCCCAAAACCCCATAAGTGACCCCCAAACCCCATAAGTGACTCTGCGCCCCATAAATGACCCCCACACCCTAGAAATGACTCCAAAAATCCAGAAGTGACCCCATACACCATAAATTACCCCGATCCTACCCCATAGATCTCAATCCTGCCCCATAGATCTCAATCCTGCCCCACAGATCCCAATCCCGCCCCATAGATCCCAATCCTAACCCTTAGATCCCAGTCTGACCCATAGATCCCAATCCTAACCCACAGATCCCAGTCCTGCCCCACCGATCCCAATCCTACCCCATAGATCCCAGTCTGACCCATAGATTTTGCCCTATAGATGCCAATCCTGCCCCATAGATCCCAGTCCTGCCCCACAGATCCCAGTCCTGCCCCATAGATTCTGCCCCATAGATCTCAATCCTGCCCCACAGATCCCAATCCTACCCCATAGATCCCAGTCCTGCCCCACACATCCCAGTCCTGCCCCATAGATTGCCCCACTCACCCCTCGCCATCGGGTCCCTCACCCTCGATGGGCAGGGCCAGCATCAGGCGCAGGCTCCGGGCCCGGAGCAGCTGGGACAATTCCTCAATGGCCGCCGGGCTCCGACCCACGGCAAATTGTCCCCAAAGGGACACGGAGAGGAGAGCCCGCCATAAATGGGGACCCAGCAGGCGCCGGGACGCTCGAAGGAACTGTGGGGAATGGGGGAAGATGTGGGGTGGGATGG